ATTGGCCAACGAGAGTTCTCTCCTTCCAGAGATTTTGATGAAATTTCGAGGTCTTTCTTAAGAGAAACAGTTCCAAAAAGAGTTTTTCGTTCTCAAGTTTTCAAATATTCGTAGTGCTTTATAAATTGCCACGCTTAGAATTTCCCCAAAACATTTATAAATTATTCCTTCCCTGACAATCTCTTTGGGCAAATTCAAATAAAATGTAGAGGGTTTTTTACATTCCAACCTTTAGAAACACATATTTGGGAAATCGAAAGAGATTGGTGATAAACTTTTAATTTTATGGAAGGGCAAGGGAAAGATCATTTATTCCATTTGGATAAAAAAGGTCGGGGGATATAATTAACCTTACCAATGAGTCAGGAGGGGATATTCTATATTCAAAGGAGGTCGATGCTTGTTCTATTATCCATTTCAAAATTAGGTTTGCTATTAACTGATTTTTTCATTCTCAAAAACTTAATTCAGATTATCGGAATCATTCCAATCCATTTTTTCGGGACAGATTAGTATTATCCCCCATAATACAGGGTAGTTCCAAGTTAATAATCTATTGTTTGGTTTCACCGGATTGACCCGTTGTTGTCGTTGCTGTTATTTTCAGATTGATTCTTGTACATTTGTTCGAAATAACTTCATGGAAGAGGTTTGTAATTCTTCAGTCTTGGAAGTTAAATCTTCGGCATTGACTTCCTCGCCAGCTTGAACTCTAGCAATGACTTCTCTTAAAGCGGTGATTTGGTCGGTAACCTTTTGAGCTTCAGCCTTGTCAACCTTACCTTCGAATTCCTTCAAAGAGGTTTCAGTATCGTTGGCCAATTGGTCTGCCTTGTTAGCAGTTTCAATGGACTTCTTTCTAGCTTCATCTTGAGACTTGAACTTTTCAGCATCGTTAACCATTTGTTCGATTTCGGATTCAGATAGACCGGATGAACCAGCAACAGTGATAGAAGCATCCTTGTTGGAAGCCTTGTCTCTGGCGGAAACATTGATGATACCATCAGCATCAATATCGAAGGAAACTTCGATTTGTGGAACACCCTTTGGAGCTGGTGGAATACCAGATAAAGTAAAGTTACCAATCAATTTGTTGTCTCTAACTAATTCTCTTTCACCTTGGAAGACTCTGATTTCAACAGATGTTTGACCAGCAGCAGCGGTAGAGAAAATTTGAGATTTCTTGGTTGGGATAGTGGTGTTTCTTGGAATCAATCTTGTGAAGACACCACCTAAGGTTTCAATACCCAATGATAATGGAGTAACATCTAACAATAAAACGTCAGTGACTTCACCGGATAAAACAGCACCTTGAATGGCAGCACCGATGGCAACAGCTTCATCTGGGTTAACAGCTTTAGATGGATCTTTACCAAACAAAGACTTAACGGTTTCAACGACCTTTGGCATTCTGGACATACCACCAACTAATAAGACATCAGAGATATCAGATGTGGACATGTTAGCGTCTTTCAAAGCTTTCTTAACAGGGTCGACTGTTCTCTTAATCAAAGGTTCAGTCAAAGTCTCGAATTGAGCTCTGCTGAATTTCATGTTGATATGTTTTGGACCAGAAGCATCAGCAGTGATGAAAGGTAAGTTAATTTCGGTAGAAACGGTAGAAGATAATTCAATCTTGGCCTTTTCAGCAGCTTCTCTGATTCTTTGAATAGCCATACGGTCATTTTCCAAATCAATACCAGATTCGGTCTTGAAACGGGAGACAATTTCTCTAACTAAGTAAATATCGAAATCTTCACCACCTAAATGAGTATCACCATTGGTAGATTTAACTTCGAAGACACCATTGTCGATATCCAAAATGGAGATATCGAAAGTACCACCACCTAAATCGAAGACAGCAACAACTTTAGAGTCTGATTTTTCCAAACCATAGGCCAAAGCTGCTGCAGTTGGTTCGTTAACGACACGTAAAACGTTCAAACCAACGATTTGACCTGCATCTTTTGTGGCTTGTCTTTGAGAATCGTTGAAATAAGCAGGGACAGTAACAACGGCATTCTTAGCTGCTTTACCCAAATAAGCTTCAGCGGTTTCCTTCATCTTATTTAAAACGAAACCACCGATTTGGGCTGGAGAATAAGTTTGGCCTCTGGCCTCAACCCAAGCATCACCATTGCTGTGCTTAACAATCTTGTATGGGACTTGTTTGATATCTCTTTGAACTTCGATATCTTCAAAACGACGACCAATCAAACGTTTAGTAGCAAACAAGGTATTTTCTGGGTTGACAACGGCTTGACGTTTGGCTGGGATACCAACTAAACGTTCACCATCCTTAGTGAAGGCAACCACAGATGGAGTGGTTCTGGCACCTTCGGCATTTTCGATGATTTTTGGTACTTTACCTTCCATAATAGCAACTGCAGAATTGGTAGTACCTAAATCGATACCAATGACAGTTCCTTGAACTTTAGTTGACTGTAAACGGGTGGCCAAACGGATTGGACCAGAAATGGAACCCCTACTTAAAATACTTTTGGCAGACAACATCCTATATGATACTATAACTATAAATATAACTTTAACCTTATTTCAAAAAAGAATTCACCTTGGTATGTGTGTATCGGTTTTGTTTTATAAATTGCAATTAATTGTCTATTAACGTATCTTTCCCTTCTTAAGAATGAGATCAAAACTTTAAATTGAAAGCCCCTCAGTAGATAAACCTTAAGAAAGTAGAACTAAAATTAATACTAGTAATCCTTTAAATTCCAGACTAAGTGAACAACTTTAGACACAGAGCCAATTCTAAAAATAGTGACACAATTAATCAAATCAATCAATCAATTAGCTAATTAATTAATGAATTAATTAATTGTCTTACCATTAACCATTAACCGTTTCTTATATATAATTTTTCACCATTTGTGAAAGATGACGTATTCGTGGCTGACGATCTACGATATCGGTATTTGACGTTGTTCCTTTTCCATCTAGAAACTTCCACGGCGGGGGGGGAAACGAAGAGAAGAGAAGCGAAGCGAAGGGGAAAGTATCTGGTATTTCCAACCGTAAATTGTGATTGGTAATATGTCGACGTACGATATGATAGCAATGGCGGCTAATTTGAATTTGGTATTCGAGTCCTTTTGGAAGTAATAGGATTGAAAATGTGTCTGCTCTATAAGAACAGCAGTTCGTCGTGTTGAGGCTAAGTTGTTGTCAACGAATTAGTTTGAATTGCTCTGATGCAAATGGTAAAAGAAGAACAAATGAGGACGGGTCGTGCTGGAATATTCTGACTAGCCGTGGTTAGAGTGTTCTAAATGGGAAGATATAATGAAAATAGTTCTGAAGTACCGTCATAGCATCCATATACATATATCTATATCTACTCATTTCATATTCCATCATCAGTAAAGTTTGATCTAAACCTGTTGAACAAGTATGCCGTTTCTAAATAGATCTAAAAACACTACAAAAGTTCTGGACTGATTAACACAAAATGTTAACATCCCTTTAAGATGTTACCCTACTTATATGATTTTTATGTTGTCGGGGGAGGTAAGGATTCTGAAGTTTGTCACGTGTTACTAGATCACGTGGCCTACTGATCACGTGTGCTGGTCAAGGTAATTTTGAGATCGTATTCTTTTCTTCAGCTCAGTTCAGTTAAGATCCAACGTACTGGCTGACAAGCAAGCACACACATCTCATCATTAAATATCGATAGATATAAAAATATAACTGGGTAAAGTATATGACATCTCCATTTTGGTACTGAGTAAAACAGTATATATAAACTCAACTTCTGCAGTTTGGGTGTTGATCAAGCTGGTATTCTAATGGAATCCTCTAGAAAAATTCATTTTCCTACGATTGATTTAGACGAAATATCAGAAGAATCTGATTTATTGCAAGTAGTTAAATCCATTTTAATAAGATATGACACTTTTTTGTTGAAAAATTTTGCAGGTAAAGATAAGTTAGAAACCTTTTTGGATCAGCTAGAGGTTAGTAAACCAGAAAAAACTAATGGATTCGATTCAAGCTTTACTGGAACTCATGAAATTAAACAGAACTCCGATATCATTATTGAACAATATATCTTTAATACTGATGAAAGTTTACAGTTCGATAGAGAGTGTGATAATATAATTCTGAGAAAAGTTTACAACAGATTGTTCAAATTGACTTTGTTCTTTGCCAACCTCTGTTTAAAATGTCTGGATAAAGAAGTACTATTGGATCAAGAAAATTATGCGTCAAGGATTACACGTTATTATAATGATACATCCGATGATTTAGAACAATTGTTACCAGATAGTGAAAGTTTCCAATACTTTTTATCTCATGATTTTGAACCATTCACCTCTGCCGGTATATTGACTATATTCCCACGAGCTACAGGGATAAAATGCAAGCCCTCTACTATAAGTACTGACGATAACAGATGGGTACAGATTGATGAGCCAGATTGTATGTTGATCCATACTGGTTCTCTTATGAATTTATGGTCGGATGGAAAATATACAACATCTCCTATGATGATTGATCATCATAGCAATTTGACTCATTTGACCATGTTCCCACCTTTGGGTACTCCAGTTAATAATGACACAGTCGGCGGAGTTATGCTTGGTCAATTGCTTGAAGAATATCCAGTGGTTGCGAAAAAATATTACAAAGGGGAAATGGCTTTAAAGGAATTGAAAAAAAGAATTCAATTTTACAAACAATTATTTATATCCACTGAGACTGTACTGTCACTTTACTCTATGGCTAAAATACACCACTCTGCCGCTGACGTTATCGATTTACTTCCATTGATTTCAAATATGATGAAAAAGAAAATAGTGGAGGATTCCTTTTTAAGGATGGTGACAATATGGCCTCAATGCTACAATTTAGAAATGAGTTCTAGCGGAGAATTGAGAATCAGATTTAATAAGGTAAACCCATTGGCTATATTTACTGATAATCGTAGAAGAGAACAATTTATAACAAAAGCAGATGAATGGTTAGAACAAGCTGAAATGGAAGATTCTATTCCGTTAGATGTTGAACCATTTAAGTTATCCAAAAGAATTTTAGATCATAAAGATTTAGATACTAGTAGAAAGTTAGAGGAAGAAAAGGAAAAAATTGACGTATCTTATGAAAATACTTCGCTAACAAAAAGAAGATATATTTCTAATACATCAGAAGAAGTAGGCTTCAAAGAAAAGAAGCACACTTCTCAAGCAGATATATTAAGCAAGCTTCGAGAACGTGAAAGAAATTCGTCTAAATTGTTATCACAACGCCAAAAGCAGTATCAAAAATTCTTGCATGTTAAAATGAAGCATGTTTTTGAAATCTTGCATTCTATTGAAGGCAATAAGCCCTATACAATGACTGTACTGAGTACACTGGTAGTGGACAGTTTAAGGGATGGTAATAATCCCATTGGCACGTCGGAGGCTCAAGAAATTTTATTAAAACTTCAAAACCTTCTTCCAGATGAAATAATAGTTAATGAAGTTGATGGAGGTCTTAAAGTGTTCAAATGGAACAATCTAAATAGGGAATTGTTCAAGAAAAAGATAGAAGATGATCTGAACAATAACGAATGAAACTAAAATTCGACAATTGTTACAAGAATAAGTTTCATTCACTGTCTCTCTATTTTACAACTTAAATGTATTGCATAGTTTCTTCATTGAAGATAATAATAAATAATCCTGTAGTATATATAATGAATAATAATAATAAAAATAAAAAAATGATAGACCTTTGAAAGAATATTGAATAAGTGTTTATTAAAAGCGTAAGTAGCCAAACACTTTTGTATATTGTGACACATTAAATGAATCAAATGAGCATGTTGCTAATCTGATTACACTAATCACCCCTGCGGCAATTAAAAATTTTGAACCATTAGAAATAGATCTCTTGATTGTTTTGCTCTTCAATGATAAGAATTGAATAGCTCCCGTTGAGATATGGAATGTTCCTGAACCTATCAACATAATCAGTGGGATAATACCGCCTATCCATTTTATCATTGAATCGTGCTGTTGTAATAACCACTTGACATAAGAAAAGTCAACTTCAAAATCAGCCAATCTTGGGCCATATACCATTACAAACAAATGGTAAGCAAGTAATGGGGTCAATATATAACCAGAAAGCACTTGTGGTGATGTTTTCTTAATGGAACTCCTAATCCCTATGAACTTTTGCGTCAATAGCCCTTTAAAGAACCCCACATCATTTGAATTTCCTTGACTTAACTTACTAGAGTTATTGGAACCTTTAGTATTCCACAATCTCAGAAATCTCATCATGACACCTGCAGCTAAGTGTAAAGAAAGTGTTCCTACTAAAATATTGGTGGTAATATAAGAAGGTGGGAGTAATTCTCTTACCATCATCAAAACTTCATTGGGAACATCAGTAACCGAAACAGCAGGAACAATCAATACATTAATAGCATGTAATGGAAAGTAAACTGACATTGGCCAGGTAGAATATTTTTGAACAAATCTTAATAAATTAAAAGGTGTCCTTTTCTTTATCGGTATTCCAAGTACTTTGAAATAATCATTAGAATCATCATCTAGAACGCTAGAATCAACGGGAACACCATCTTCAACAACAATAGGCTTGGGAGCTACCTCAGATACTCCTGTCATCTTAATTAAACCTTACCTTTTCTTATATATTTATACTTTCTTCTTCAACTTTTGTTATTTTTATTGACATTATCTTTATATCTTGTTTTACTTGAAATATGTCAAAATTTATAAGAGATGCGATTTAAATTGAAACTTCTAATGAGATGAGAAATGAGTTGATAATTAAGAATCAAAGGATAATAAAGACCATTATTGAGGAGAGTGAAGAGTCAGTACGTTTAATTGTACTGGTGTGATTTAAGTTGTTTTGGATTTGTTTAATTTGGATTTAAAATGATTGTAGAACTACCAGATTGGTGCCCTCCATACTCTTCGTTAAAAGTGGATTCAGTAACTAATGAAGATGTCTATTGCATTTGTAAGAAACCGGATAATGGTGAGTTAATGGTTGGATGCGATGGATGTGATGATTGGTTTCATTTTAAGTGTTTGCATATTTCCACAAAATATAAAGAATTAGTTTCTTCCTTCTATTGTCCTTATTGCCAAGCTGGGATAACAGGAAATAAAAATGAGGAAGATGACGTTGAAGAAGTACATCATAAGACTCTGTGGAAACGCAAATGTAGATTACAGGATTGCTATAAGCCATGTCAGGATAATAGCAAGTACTGTAGTGGTGAGCATGGCGAAGAGTACATGAGAAGCATTGTGATGAGAGTTAAAATTCAAGGTAATAATGATAGCAACAAAGATTATGCATTTGTTCAAAAATTAGTACAGTCTTCAGGTACAGCAGATAAGTTCAAAATATTTGGTGAGAGTGATTTTACTAAAAAAGATATAGATCCGAAGTTAAATGTTGAATTATTTGATAAATTGATTATGAATGATACTAATCTAAAGGAGTTACAAGAAAAAGAAATAGAGATAAATCAACAACAGATACCTGATGTTGAATCTAAATTAGAGTCACTTGATAAGTATTTACAATGGTTGAAAGCGCTGAATGCAAAACTAACAGAAGTTGAAGGTGCTACAATAGTTGAACCAAAAAAAAAGGGTAATAGGAAAAAGACAAAATCAAACCATTCAAAACGTATATGTGGGTTTACCAATGATATTATATCAATCCCAAATACTGATGAATTTACAGAAAGCTACTCACAAGATTCCACGACCCATCAGGGAATTTGTACAAAGATTAAATGTGCCAAGCACCATGATTGGGCAAGTATGCTGATAGCAAGGCATAACCAAGATTTGAGAACCTTGGAGACCTATAGTGAAAGATTAAATTTACTGATAAAGATGAGAAAAGAACAATTAAATATTCAATTCTATGAAAAGTTGATAAAATAGATATCCATATTATATCGTTTTCCATTGTATCGTTATGAGAATAACAAAATTTTAAGTGTCCTGCTCAAATCTTCATCATATATAACTATGAATAACTAAAACGAAATCCATGGTAGGCATTGAATCTCATAATGATCATTTCCAATCATACAAAACACTTTGCTTTGCATTGGTCCATCCAACAATTCTCTTAATCTGGCTTCTTTATCATTTTACCGTGTAATTTACCCTACCTTACAGCCAAATTATACGACCAAGAGGAGAGAAGCAACCGAAACTTCTTATTTCGAAACTTTAAGAAGAGGATAGAGATTGGTTTTAATTTGATAGTATGATTTGTTAAAAGAGTTGGTACCTTTTGATTAAGTTATTTTTATTATATTTTTTGTTTGTGCTATTATCTCGATTTATTTTATTCTGTGGAAAATTTAGGTTCAAATCTTCTTTTTAGTGGGAATTGAGACTTTTGAAAAACGATAATTCAATTAAGGTTTGCAAAAAAGGGTTAGATTGAAAAATTGTTGTTGATAATATAAGATTAGATTTTGGGATAGAATACAATATTGATAAGGTAAACTTGAAAGATGAGTGTTGACGCTAAGGCTAACAAAGTTAAAAACGAAGAATTCAAGATTTGGAAAAAATCGGTACCATCTTTATACCATCACATAACCACTAAGAAACCAGTTTTCACTGCTCAAAGTTTTTCTTCAACTTTAGGTAGAGTTCAAAATTTAAAGAAAACTATTACTTTTACTGATAAGGTTATTCCAGACAAAAAGAATGGTCTTTTGACTACTTCTGTTTTATACACTCAAGGTAGTGAAATTTATGAAGTTGATTTCGACCTACCTTTAGGTTCTCATAATACTGATGAAGAAAACTTAGTTGAACCAAATTATGAAAATGCCCATGAAAACACTCATGAAATCAAAGAATCGAAATGGTCTTTCCAGGTGAGACTATTTCCAAATTGATTTATTTGAACTCTATGGAGGCTACAGTAGTCATTGCTAAAAATGGTTCTCTTGGTTGGTTCAAAGATAATATCAAAGTACCAGTTAACAGATTACAAGAAGTTATGGGTCCAGGTACAAGTTATTCTGCTATTCATGGTTCCAAATGGGCTAACGCTAGTATTAATGATTTTACTGTTTCTATGGACGATTCTACAATTATTAAAACACAATCATCTCCAACTAACGGTAGTATCTTGAAATTGGTTGATAACGATGCAAGGGCTGGTGAAGTTTTGCGTACAATTCCTATCTCTAAGGACTGTATCAGTCACACTGTAAGATATTTCGACAGTAATTTGTTCGTTACTTGTTCTGATGACAATGTCGTTAGATTCTGGGATAGCAGAGGTGATTCTAAGCCAGTGTTTACTTTAGAAGAAAACAAAAGTAATGATGGTTTGTTAACTTGTTTAGATACCTCTCCGATGGTTGACACAATGTTCGTTACAGGTTCGGATACTGGTATTATCAAGTTATGGGATATCAGATCAATTATTTCTGAAAATGATGATTTGTCTTATAGACAACATGGTGAAGCACCACTACATGAAGAATTATTTAGATTGACGCAAATGGATGGTGATGGTGTTGTTGATATTCAATTTTCTCAAACTTCGCCAGATGAATTTTTAACTGTTGGTGGAAGCGGCAACGTCTATAACTGGGACACTTCACCAATTATAATGAGTGACGAAGGTGAAGGTGATGGTGATTCCATGGATGTTGATGCCGTTAAGAATAACTGTTTCAAGTTTTTCCATAGCGGTGGTAACAGAACTAGAAGACTAAATGTTGATAATTCTAATAATCCAGCCAGTTCATTGAGGAACACAGTCTCATGGCACCCGGTTATCGATGATTTCATTGCCTGTGTTGATTATGACAGTTTGATTACCGTTTACAAGCCATTCTTTGGTAGAGATGATACAGAAGAAGCAAACTAAGGATAGTTTATCAAGACTAGTGGGATCAAGACATTGGTCGATGTTTTTTATTTAAACTTCTATATATAAAAAATGAAAAATAAAATTTATATATGCGCGTGTATGGAAGTATATATATATATTTATATATATAATGTGATCTTTTATGTGGTAAGAATATTAGTCAAGTTCTGTGTTATAATACGGTTATTTGAACGTGGACATCGTAATATATAGATAAAGAATGAGTTGTTCGAACCCTTGATTCTTCGTAGACATGACGAATTCCCAACAAAAAATTTTCACATTATCAAAACAGGCATTTGGTTGTTAACGTTCTTTTACTGATAAAAATAGATAGTTGCTTGGCATATATATATATATATATCACGTCATAATACCATAAGAAACTCATCCCAATATTGCATTAGAAACATAGAAATATATAACTAAACCGCGTCACTTTGATTAAATAGAAGTTTACTACTAAAAATAAAGAAGAAGAACCCTCACTACATACATATACAACAATGAAAAGATATGTAGAAATATTAATTATTAATTTTAAATGGGTAATTTATTGCATTGTTCATCAACCCCCAATCTCCACCCCTGTCCCCAAGCAATAAAAATAGAAAGATAGAACACGAAACTGATGCTCAAGAATTCAATAATGACCTAACAAATAATGATAAAAAAAACTATCATTGACTATCATCTCGTCCTTCATGTCCATTGCATTCTATCGATATCAGGTCATTTATGTACCTCTATAACCATGTATCATAATAATATTGCTATTTTTAAAACAAATGTCCTTAACCATCGCTACAACTCCCTCTGAAATAGAAATCCAAAAGGTTTCAATAAATGGAAACTCAAAACAAGAATAAGAACAAGAACAAAACTCCTACTCCCTCGACAATCAGCCCTAACTTAGCTTTACGTCTTGTAGTATCCCGCTCATCGTTACTTATAAATTACCCAATTCTAAAGGATTTCTTATGCTTAATTTTTCAAAAGTTGCTAATTTCGAAATGGAAAATGTAAACATCGTGAAACTTCCTAAAACAGCAAAATCGATAATTTCCAAATGTAAACAAACCTTTAAAACAAACAAACTGATGAAAATTTAAGTAGTATGACAGTGCTAATAGGAAAGGAGAGGTTACGAGTTGATTCATATCTTGAAGTTTTGAGGTTATGACGATGTTGGATAATGTTATATAATGTCATATTATATATTATATTCTAAATCTCTAGATGTTGTTTTATTTTAGTTTGTTTCGAAAATTGGTTAGTTGTTTGGGTAAGTTTTCCTTTTCACATTGGAAGGTTTCAGGATTAATCTCTTTGGTTATTACACACCAGTTTCTTTTCTTGTTTAGTATTGTTAGTAGAGATACATATATATACATACATATATATATATATAAAGATATAGAAATATATTGTCGTAGTTGTTTCTTTTCATTCAGACTCAAAGATCTAAGAGAAACTCAATCGACGATATATCTGCCTCTTCCGGGAGAGATACATACAGGTAGTACCATTACGTAACGAAGCTTTGGGGGTTTTGTAACTATTGGTAAAGATTGTTCATTAAGTAGGAAACTTCTGCAGAAAAGTATCCAGTATTGAAGATAGAGAGCCTTGGATAATTACTTATTTCATATAACCCTACCCTCATCCATGGCGGTTGCTCCTGTGGTCCATAATAATGGAAATAATCATAGTTACCCCATTCAACCTTCACAATCAAGTATACAAAGAGTAGGTTCACCAACGACTTCTGATGTACAAGTGCGATACCAACACCGTGTGCGAAGAAAGAAACAACCTACGTTTGGTCCTTACTATCTAGGTTCTACTATTGGTGAAGGGGAATTTGGGAAAGTTAAATCAGGATGGTCAAGGAAACCTCAAAATGATAATGGCCTTACTATTGGAAAGCAAGTTGCAATTAAACTGATTAGGAGAGATACTTTAGCAGAGAAAAAAGATCAGGAATTGAAAGTTTATAGGGAAATCAATGCTTTAAAATTATTGTCACATCCAAATATTGTAAAATTAGAAGATGTATTACAAAACTCGAAATATATTGGTATTGTATTAGAATATGCCTCTGGAGGTGAATTCTATAAGTATTTACAAAGAAAAAAAAGATTGAAAGAACCGCTTGCATGTTCAACTTTTGCCCAATTAATTAGTGGTGTTGCATATATTCATTCGAAGGGCTTGGTCCACAGAGATCTAAAATTGGAAAATTTGTTATTAGATAAGCATTCAAACCTTGTCATAACTGATTTTGGATTTGTTAACGAAATCTCTACAAACAACAAGCTGATGAAAACACCTTGTGGTTCACCTTGCTATGCGGCACCTGAATTAGTTCTATCTACTAAACCTTATGATGCCAGAAAGGCAGATATCTGGTCAGCTGGTGTTATATTATATGCTATGTTAGCAGGATATTTGCCATGGGATGATGATCCAGAAAATCCAGATGGGAGTAATATTATGAGACTTTACGAGTATATTACAAAAAATAATTTGAAATTTCCCGATTACATTGAACCATTAGCCAGAGATTTAATAAGAAAGATTTTAGTCATACAACCCAAAAGTAGATTAAATATTGTTCAGGTTCAGCAACATGAATGGTTAAAGCCACATAGTCAATTTTTATCTATTACTACTAATGAATGGGACAAGACTATGCTGAATCAAGAGGTGTTTAGACCTCCAAGAGCAGGTTCGAGTCAAAGACCAAGATCTACTTGCTCTACAATCTCAACTTCCGATAAGAGAGACTCATTGATTCTTGACTCATCGTTGATCCAATTACCTGCGCCACCTAAGGAGTCACAGATGAACGTAATTGCTACCCGTTCCACATCTTCCATCACACAAGAATTAAGTCCTATTTCTGTGGATAGCACAGGAATTTATCGACATGCACGTAGTAATTCTGCGGCATCGGTTGCACTTCAAGCCCTGGTTGAAGTGAAGAATAATCAAAGCAATAATAATTTCAATCTAAACAATATGGAAGGAACAATTACAGAAGGTGAAGTTTCAGTACGTAGAACTCGTTTACATAGTAAACCTAGACCGACTTCTTATCACCCTGGCATGAGCAATACTCTATTGACGAATTTTGGAAGTACACCATCTAGTTTTGACATATATCGTGAGGATAATAATAGAAAGTTAAGTGATGGAGAAATGACGATTCCAAATGATTCTATGAATTGTTTATTACTTGATTGTAAGCATACAATATCATGTGTTTCATCTACCAGTACAGTACTGCCAGTTCGCAATAGTAGTAATGTCAATTCCTCAATTGAACTTAAAATTTCAAGGGAATCTATAGATGAGAGAAGAAACCGTAGAACTAGTGTACGTCACAGTGGCATTAACTTTGATCAAATTTTCAGTGCGGTTACTGAAGAAGAAGAACATGTTGATACCACACCAGTAACAGACAAATTAACTGTGCCAGTTACCAAGGCTGAAAAATCAAGAAGTAAGAGACTTTTAGACTTCATAAAACGTAGGAGCATCAGAATTTAATTATATTTTTTATTCATTCATTCATTCGTTCATTTTTATTTTTATTGTTATTGTTATTGTTATTGTTATTGTTATTGTTATCGTTATCGTTATTGTTATCGTTATCGTTATTCTTATTTTGATTGTTCTTTATTAATCTATTCATTCAACCAATGATTAATTAAATATACCATGTACATTAAATAAACAGCATATTCATATTAGACAAAAAATAATTAATTCAATTAAGTTAATCTTTTCTTTCTTTTAAACAGTAAATAAATACCAGATAAAGCAAAAATTAAATAGACACTTTAACAAATGGAATTGTAATGTTCTGCCCTTATACGAAGGCTCTCGAAAGTATATATATATATGACAAAAAACAATGAAATCAGGGCAGAACATCTTCATTTTCATTTTCTCCTCAATTCCTTTTAAAATCTTCTCATGGACCCTTTGTTTTTACTTATTCTCGTATACAGAATGCATTTCTGGCTCTACGCTTTTCGATCGCTGTATTTTCTTTTTTATGCACTTGGTTATCTGTCTAGATCTACTTCACTAGTTCCTCCCTACGCTTGTTCTTACATTTTGCAGTTTTTGCCGCCAACTATCAAAATGTAAGGAAATCAACTAAAGGGACTTTGAAAACATAAATAAAAAGACATCACCCTAAACGATGGTATTCTATACGACCAAAATAAAGGACGAAAAAATGTCACGACACTCTATACGAACTAATAACGAATACAACAATTCATTCTGCGCCACAACAAAACTGGCTGGTTGTATTATAACGCTGCTGGTGATCCCCCTCTTGGAACACACTCATTCCATCTCCCTCCCCTCCGTACATGTGACGTTGGCGCAGTGTAGGACTGGAGAATTGATTTCTACACATATAAGCCCATCTTGGCAAAGTTCTATAATCCAACTGGAAATTTGAATATACATATATATATATATATATATATATGTTGGTTGTAAAGATCGTTTTCAATCATATTATTCTACAGAAAATCTCAAACCAATTAACCTTAACTGTTTCGATCGTTCATTAAAGGTAAACTTTGCATCGATTCAGCGAAACCAATCAAAGATGACAATGTCACTTATCTCTAAACAGCCTGTCTAATAGATTGACTGAGAAATAAAAATCAGAGAAATGTCCAAGACACACGGACATATCAATGTTCCAAAAAATCCAATGGCATCACATGACCAATAATTAAGTTTCCAAGATTAATAACTTATCTGTCATCAATCAATCTAATCCCCTTTTCTGATGATGCGTAACGTTTCCTTTCCCTTTCCCTTTCCTTTCCTTTCCTTTCCTTTCGAGGTTAGCCAGTACCAAATTAAATTCAACTTCTCTGTTCGTTTATAGGAAACCAGAATACTTCACTTACCCGCCTGCTCACAGTAATCCCATTCTAATGTATTACGCCCACTCGTGCGTATGCGTGTGTGTGAGCTGTGCTATTCGACAAAGTCTTCCCCCCTAATCGACTTCGCCCTCAGAGCTCGACGCACACGGCTCGGACCCGGGTACAGAGACCAGAGCGTAGCAAACCGTTCCTTTGCGCAGAAGTACAATCCGTTTACCAGTTTATTTTTGTGTTTGTGTGCTTATTTCCATTTTTCTTTCCACTTCCTACAGGATTGTCTCTGCGGCTCGTCGGATTTTTTTTATTTTGGTATGTCGTTTCTTTTTTCATTGGATTTTTCGAAAATTTCACTCAAACCGTTTTTTTTTTGTGCGGTAAGGTTACTGGTATCACTAAAAAATATTCAAGAAATGAAAATATAAAAAAAAAAGTTTGATTTCTACGGACTTTTCTTGGTACTGTTAGCTAGTTTTTCTGAAAAATTTCGAACAAAAATCATCATCACCATAATATAGAGAGACTTTAACTAAACAAAATTATGGTATTTCGAAGAAACTAAAAATTCAATTGAATTGACTGAATTATATTATAAGCAATTATAATTTGATAGCCCTTAGAAATGATATTTGATTGTGCTATTCATTCAATTAATTAATTGGGTTTACACTAATTTAGCTTTTGGTTTTTAGTTTTTAACGTGTGTTTTATATTTTTTTTTTCTCTTTCTTTCTGTCTCGCTGTTTAGGATTAGGATTGTTATTTAATTTTTTTTTTTTCTGTTTGGTTACTTCCTTCTCTTTCTTTGTTTCCAACAAACGTAATAGTTACTTCAAGTTCAAGTCCAAGAAAAAATTTGTTAATACTTTAGTGCTTAACTTTAGATTTTTTTTTATATTTCTTTTAACCTGTGTGTCAACTTTAAACTAAAATAATTTACCAATTCTCTCTCTCTCTCTAAGTTTTCCATTTCGCTATTATTATTTTGATTATTAACAACTTTAATTTGGTTCTGATAGTGGTATATAAATATTTTCCAATTTATATTATACCAACATAATCACTGATCTTTTGAAGAATTTTGGTTAACTTTCCCATTACTATACCACTGGCCCCCCCGTTGTAATTAATTAAGATCATTGGTATCTCGATATACATCTAGTTCCGTTGGTAATTTGGAGTTTTTCATCTATATTTTATTATAAATATATTATTATTTTTTTTGTTAATACCCTATCTTTGGTGATATTCTGGTTTTTCAACAAGTGTTTTTTCCATATTTCACACTCAACGTTTAAAAAATTCCTATTGATTAGTCTTATTTTACACTGAGTTTGTTTGTTGTACTGAATAACTATCATTTTTATATCACTTAGCTTTCATTTTACGATCCCTCTCATTTAAATTGGAACTCTAAATATTTGATTATGTCTCAATACGCCAGTTCTTCAAGTTGGACTTCATTTTTAAAGTCAATTGCTTCTTTCAATGGTGATATCTCTTCTTTAACTGCTCCTCCATTCATTCTATCTCCAACTTCATTATCTGAGTTCTCCCAATATTGGGCTGAACATCCAGATTTGTTTTTAGAGCCATCATTTATCAATGCTGATAACTATAAGGAAGTTCTAAAGGATATCGACGATGATATTGAAAGTGCTGAAGTTGCTAGAATGCTATCTGTCACTAAGTGGTTTATTTCCACTTTAAAGTCTCAATATTGTTCAAGAAACGAATCCATGGGTTCTGAAAAGAAGCCTTTAAATCCATTCTTGGGTGAATTATTCGTTGGTAAATGGGAAAATAAGGATAATGAAAAATTTGGTGAAACTGTTCTATTAAGTGAACAAGTTTCCCATCATCCTCCTGTTACTGCTTATACCATCTTCAACGATAAAAATAAAGTTAAATTGCAAGGTTATAATCAAGTCAAAGCTACCTTTAGTAAAACTTTAATGTTAGGTGTCAAGCAATTCGGTCACACTATGTTAGAAGTTGGTGATGAATCTTACTTGATTACTGTCCCTCCTTTACATATTGAAGGTATATTAGCTGCATCTCCTTTCGTAGAATTGGAAGGTAAATCTTTTATTCAATCTTCAACTGGTTTATTAGCTGTGGTAGATTTCTCTGGTAGAGGCTATTTCTCTGGTAAAAAGAATTCTTTCAAGGCAAGAATTTACGAAGATAGCACAAGTTATAAAAAGAATAAGGAAAATGCCTTATACACAATTTCTGGCCAATGGTCAGGTATCTCTACTATAATTAAAAAGGACAAAGCTTCTGGCGACGAACCAACCATCTTCTATGATGCAAACAGAGAGCCTGTTGAAGTCTTAAAAGTTAAAGAATTGGAAGACCAACATCCACTGGAAAGTAGAAAAGCTTGGAAAGATGTTGCTGAAGCTATCAAATCTGGTGATTTCAATATGATTGTTGAAACTAAATCATTGTTAGAAGAAGCTCAAAGAGAATTAAGAAAAGAAGAAGAAGCTAAAGGTATCAGCTGGCAAAGAAGATGGTTTAAGAGTATCGATTACTCTCCAGATGCAGATGGAAAGGAAGCAGATGTTCCAGAAGAAGGTGATATATTCGCTACATTGGCATCCACTTTACAATTATCTACAAAGAATGTTCCAAGTGGTACCATAATTGGTGACAAAGAAGACAAAAAAGAAGGTATTGCATCTGAACACTGGAGATTCGAAAGAGAATTATGGGATAAAGAACCTGAAATCGTATTGTAAAGGGAATCAGTTAACAGTTAAAATATAGAGGGCATGCTTTCCTTTATCTACTAATAACTAACCTATTATTGTAAATCCATTTCTATTCCTACATTATGTGCGTTTGGATTGTGAATAATGTTTTTTTATTCTGCACTCTTTCGTACTTATTTTTGTTAAATTTCTACCTTTTTTATCTCTGCTAATTTCTACGAGGAGAATCTCGACTTTTCTATCATCTAGACTATAAGTTAATGTCAGATACTTCTGCAACCATGCCACCTATAACTATCGTTTTCACTCAACGTTTCATGCAATCTTATGAGAAACTCCAAAGTAAACAAAATAGAATGCAACAGCAATCTGACAACAACTAAAAGTCTACCATATCTCATGCAATAGATATTGTATGTCCCATGAATGCCCAAAGTATAAAATATAAGTTATCTACTACATAACTCAAAATATATATATAATTTTAAGATGATTATTTGATGTATATTGATCTGTATATTCATCATAGTAAACGAAACTTTTGCTGTAGTTTTACCGCTTTTTCAAAGTTTGGTAGCGCCCTTTATTGTAAGCACCAAGCTAGGAAAAGTAAGTTTGAAAATTTTTCGAAATTGTAAATGAGATGAGATGAGATGTGATGAGATGAGATGAGCTCAGTGTTTAAGAGTTACTGTTATTATTTAATAAGTTTGAAAAGATTTTAATAATGAAGTTGTTAGGCAAGAAGCTAACAAAGGCTAATATTTGTAGGAATATAACTAAACAACCTGAAAATGGCACCTCTTTCTACTACTAGCAAGCCTTCTCAATACAAGCAATCTTCTCGTAAGGGTAAGAAGGCATGGAGAAAGAATATTGATTTAACTGATATTGAAAAGTCTTTAGAGTCCAAAAGAGATTTGGAAATTACTCATGGTAAAGCAGATCTTGCATCTGTTGAAGATGAAGCTTTGTTCGCCGTTGACACTGATGGTGATAACGTTTTAAAACAAAAATTGATCAAGAGAAAACAAATAAAGAAAAATTTGAAGAGTACTGAAATTTTAGAATCTATTAAGACCAACTCCAAAGTTTCTGTCTTAAAACATCCAAAGGTTATCTCAAACAATGAAAAATCCAAAAAGAAAGTACAAGGTGTATCTAAAAAGGAAATTACCAGGCTGATGGCCATGGCTGGTAAAGTTCATGGTGAATCTGGTTCAAAAACTAAATTAGCTAAAGACGGTTTAGTCAAATCTGGTTCAAATGACTTATGGGGTGATGAAAAACCCTCTAAAAAGAAGAAAAAGATCCAGTTACCTTCAGGTATTAAACTAGACGTTTCATCCAAAAAGGAAATTCCAAAAGAATTGTTAACGCAATCAACTACAAGCTGGTCGTTACCTTCTGTCAAGCCAAAGACATTGGATATTGAACCTGTAAAAGTCAAAGAATACAAAGAATTACCACATTCAGGTAAGTCTTACAATCCGAATAGGTCAGATTGGTCTGCTTTGTTAGATAAAGAATACAAGGAAGAAAAAGTCAGAGAAGATAGACGAATTGCAGTACAAGAATACAGAGAACGTATCAAGGAATTGATGTCTAAGCTTGATGACAATGAAGAAGATTCTTCCGATGATGATGAAGAAGAAGAAGAAACTTCAAAAACACCAGAAGATGAAGAAGAACTAACATCTCTTTCGGTTAATAATCCTGTTGAAAATAAAAAGAAGACCAAATATCAAAGAAACAAAATGAAGAGACACCAAGAAAAAGTTAGATTACAAAGAGAGTTGAAGCTTCTAAGATCACAAGTTAAAGGATTAGAAAACTTAGAAGAAATAGAAGAAGAGGTGGTAATTGATCATCAATTAAAGGAAACCTTGAAAGGTGAAGCAGCTAAAGTCGCTAAACCAAATAAAAAGCACAAATTGGGTACAAAGTTCACAGTCATGGAAGAAAACTTAGAAGTAAAATTCTCAGATGAATTATCAGATTCATTAAGAAAATTAAAGCCAGAAAGTCATCTTCTATATGATACTGTCAGAAAACTACAAAGTTCAGGTAAGATCGAATCTCGTATTCCAGTTAAAAGAGGTAGAAGATACAAGCAAAAGATTACAGAAAAATGGACATACAAAGATTTCAAATAATGGGAGTCATAACTTTGGTAATAATTTAATATCTTTTATGTATACTTGCACTAGTCTATACAATCATTTATGTATATTAGGGATATCATATATTAATAATTCATTTTTATTACATTGATAAAATATATTTTATAAACATTTAGTTCATCATTAACTTTTTACATTAAAAAAATGCAAAAAAAAATATTTAAAGGATGAATCGTTTTTCTAAAACAAAATGTAAAAAATATTTAATGAGTTTTAAAAATTATATGAATGAATATTATTTAATGTCTTTTTTAACTTGATTAATTTGATCAACATTATATCGTTGCTAATTTTGTTTGTAGCACAGTTCTTTCTGTTTCCCAATTTTTAACATTTGTCAATTTCTTTTCTAATTCTTCAATTTCATTTTCAATTGAAGTAATTGCCTCATCTGTACCCAATGTCTGTAGACTCCAAGTTCCGTCATTCGATTCTGAGATTTCAAGCAATTGGTCATGATACTTAATCAAGGATGGTCTTTGAGAAATTGAAATAAAGTTGAATCTGTATTTCCTTAGCAGATTGAATAAATAATCTTCCATGTCTACAGAAATGGCATTTGTGGCTTCATCTAAGACAACAAATCTTGGCTTGTGGAATAAAATCCTTGCAAAATTCATTCTTTGTTTTTCACCACCACTTAAAACATCTTTCCAATCTGCAACTACATCAAGATATGACCAACCCTTAGCACGCTTTAATAAATATTCTAGTTTTACCTCAGACAAAATTTGCACCAATAGCTTATCTTTCAAACCTCTGTCAAAAAATTCATCAGATGTCATAGGATATATAATCTGATCTCTCAAAGTACCGCCTCTCGCGAAGTAAGGTTTTTGTGGGATACAGATTAGATTACCTTCAGAAGGGATAGACAATAAACCATTCTTATTATAGACCGGCCAAATTTCGGAGATTATTCTTTGGATGGAAGTCTTACCACAACTGTTTTGAACTAAAATCAACAAACTCGAACTTTGACCGTGTAAGAAAGGAAGTGTCATAATCGTAATTGAATTCTTGGAATAATTTGAAAGGTCTTGGATTGAGTTAAACTTCGATGAGGATGATCAATAAAGGAAGAAATTGGAAAGTCAATTTCTTACTAATTTGACACAACTTTGAACTTGCTGGGAGGTAATATTACATCAATGTTTCCAATCTTATACCTTGAAAATCTTTTGAATGTACCTTAAAACACTATTATTTTGTTCCTCTTGAAATCCTTTTGAAAAAAATCGCCTTAATTTCCAAACTTGTCTTGGCAATTGCCCCAACCAAATTGGTGCTGAACCCTTAAAACCTTAACAAAGAAATTCGGTAATAACCCTTAGCTGGAAATCCTAAAAGAGTATATTAACCGCGCCCGCGAAAAATAACCTTATTAAAGAATTTCAATTATTCCGACTTCCCGCGAAGTTGGACAGTGATTGAAAAAATCCACCACAGATTTAAAGTCCACATAACATTTCTCTCACACTCCGAAGATAATTCTATTCATTCGGGAGCTCTTTAAAGAAAAACCACCCGT